TGTTTGTTTAATCATTTTAATGCATTGCACTGTTGGCGTTGTTGTTGTTGGTAAGTGCTGTCAAGTCAATTCTGATTCACAGTGACCTTGTATAACATTTCCTAAGAGCAGATGGTGAGCTTATCTGCCGACCTTTTGTTACCAACTGACCTTACATTCCAGTGCATTAACCTAAGCGCCACACCAGGACTCCAATTCGTTGCATTTGACATGTCAAATAAGGACTACAGTTACCATTGCAAATGATCACATATTATTAATAACACAAAGTTAAACCAACCCAAGAATTTAAGATTATCTTCTGGAACACTCAATTCAGCATAATCTTTGAGACCAGGGGACAATAGAAACATTTTCAGAAACACCATCTGAGCATGAAGAATAGTCTGTTCGAAATCAACATAAATCTAAGTCATTTGAGAGATCCTCACAGTCTGTGTCCTGGCTACAACTGAGTTCCAATGGGGACATGAAGTATCTCTAAAGCACACATGATGTCAAAGCACCACCATTGATGGACCAGTCTGACATCTAAGGCTTCAGTGTCAAGTTCAAAGTTTTCCTAAAGATTGTGTTCTATGGCAGGAAACTTACATGAGTCTATATATTCTTAAATAAAAATTAGGATAAAATTATTTTAACCAGCTATTTACCAAAGCCATGAATTAAAGGCATGATACATACTCAGCTTAATATACATGTAGAGTGAAAAAAAAAAAAAAAACCAAACCACTGGCATATATATCACCAATTCCAACTCATAATGACTCGATCGGACACAGTAGAACTGCCCATAGGGTTTCCAAGGCTATAAATCTTTACGGATGCAGATAGTAACATCTTTCTCCTATGGAGTAGCTGGTGGGCTCAAACCACTGACTTTCAGATTGGCAGTAAACTGCTTTAACCACCCTGCCACCAGGATTCCTGAATATACCCTTGTTGGTAAGTGCCATCGAGTTAGCTCTGAATCACAGTGACTCTTTATATCCAAGGACATATATCATGGTGGTGGTGGCTGGTGGTGGCTGTGTGCCGTGGAGTCAGTTCCAACTCATAGCAACCCTGTACAGTGTTTCCAAGGCTGTAAATCTTTACAAGAACAGAAAGCCTCATCTTTCTCCCACAGAACAGCTGGTAGTTTTGAACTGCTGACCTTGAGGTTCGCAGCCTGATTTGTAACCACTACGCTACCAGAGCTCCTTATATACCATGGTAGTCAGGGATTACTGACCAAAACTACTCAAAATGAAAAAAAAAAATTGACTCCTTCCGCGTTTCCTGCTTTTGCCTCTCTGTCTTTCTCAGTCAGTTTCAACCAACAACAACAACAAAAGAGCAATGTTTGAATTACAGTTCTGTGTTCTTTGTTGTTAAGTCCACTCGAGTAGGTTCCGACTCAAAGTGACTTTGTATAGGGTTTCTGAGGAGCGACTGGTGGGTTTGAACTGCCACCTTGTGGTTATCAGTCCACTCCAAGATTCTCTTCAATGTGGAAAGTGGGATTCAATTCCCAGCAAAGCACCCGAGGCTCTGCCATTACCCATCTGTCAGTGAAGGCTTGCCAAGGTGCTGAACAGGCTTCATTGGAGCTTCTATATTAAGGCGGACTAAGAAGAAATCAATGTGCTCAAGTGTGGCAACAATTGTGAGGTTGGCAGTGTTTTGTTTTGTTGTGCATAAGGTCGTTATGAGTCAGTACCAACTTGATGGCACCTAACAAAAACAGCAAGAAGAAATGCCTAGGGGTCTACTTCTGAACATCAGTCGATGAAAGCTATAGACAACAGTTGTTTTGGGGATGGCATGGGACTACGTAGTGATTTGTTCCATTGTGCAAGGGATGACAAGTCAACCAACAACTTGCCTTCTCCTAATAGTGGCAACTTGAGACTTTGATCAATTTAGCCAGATCATCTACATGTCTAGATGCTTTTAGGACCATTACACAAAAGTCTGAAATGTAAAGGAAGCAGAAGAGGGATCTCTTTGTTTAGACAGTTGATATGCTAGCTTTATTTATTTTTTCTATCACTGTCATCTGAGACTTAATGCTGTATTCCCTGGGGATGGAGACCCAATCCTCACAGCATTTAGCACTTAGCTCATCTGTGTGAAATCATGTTTACAAAATCTGGATTGTTATTAATAATAAACTGATAATGACTATAGGGCTGATGAGTCATTCAGCCCTCCAGTGAGTGAGTGTGTTCATTCATTCTACAAATAGCCATTGCACACTCACACTCTCTGTGTCAGGGCCTCTGATGAATATCTATCTCCGAATAGCACCTCTGATTGCCAAATTAATGATGACTGATTTTATTTCAGAGTAATGCACTTAAGCCACCCCCTGCCTCCCAAAAGAAATAAACAAAAATCAGCATTTCCATATAGGCTTTAAACTGAATTCTTTGCACAATTTCTCTGTTAGCTTTTGAGGCCTTACTGGCAATATTTTGTTCCGATTTCAAATTTACAGAGCTACAAATTTTACATATTCCCCTTACAAGTCTTTATATGAGTGGTACCTTTCTTGTTAGATTATAATAATTTTGAACACTTATTGATAATGCCCTGCTGGCTCAATGGGATAAGCATTGGGCTGTTAACTTCAAGTTCAGCAGTTCAAATCCATCAGTTGCTCTGCAGGAGAAGGATGACATAATCTGTTCTTGTAAAGACTTACAGCCTCAGAAACCCAAGGAGCAGCTCTACTCTGTTCTATAGTGTTGTTACGAGCTGAAATCAATTCAATGACAGTAGGTAGAGAACATTTATATGATCCTCATGACAACCATGAAGCAGGTGTTGCTTCTATTATGCTGGTAGAGAAATTGAGGCTTAGGACCCTTATCCCACTTGCTCTGGGTCCCCGGGTGAGCAACTGGCAAGTGTGAGATAGGAACCCAGTCTTCCAACTCCAGAATCAGGGCATTCTCTGCCATACTACATGTCCTTCTGTGGAGGCACACGTCTGTCCTCACTGACCCTGACCAGGGTGGCTGTGTCACCTTTGCCTATCTGTTCTTCCTTCCCAACTTTTCCAGCACCTTCGTCTCCAACTGCCTGGCCCAGGGTCTTCTCTGCCAGAGGAGTTTTGCTAGTAAACAGAGTATGCCAAGGTGACCTGCTTTGTAATTTGATGTTTGCATGCTTTCTAACTATATTCATGTTTTTAAAAAGCTAAAAACAAAGATTTCAAGAACAAGCAGGAAAGTAATGAGTATCAGCTGTTTGCTTTGGGCCTAGTTTCCAGCTCCTTCTAACTCAGAACACAGTTCGAGAACACAGTAGTTAGATGGGACCAAATGCTCAGAGCTACAAGTTCTTGGCCCTTTACACTGTACTACTTGACTAAGGATACCTTTCGGATCTGTGGCCCCACCACCACCACACCACACACACTACGCACACCACACCACACACACCACCAC